AAAATAAAAAAAATCTGTTAACTTTTTTTTTTTCAGGGACCCTAATCCTCTTCCGTACGTGCAGGAGGTCAAAAAGCCATTCATTATTGTCTCCAATGCTGTAAACATTTTTAGAATAAATAAGTTTAAATAATACATGTAAACATTTCTTTCAACGAAAGAATAGCCATAGAGATCAGTGGCCATAGCCTGTGGCAGGTTTCGGCGCGGCGCGGCGCAGCGCCGCGCGGCGCCAGGCAGGTTAACAAGGCGGTGGGTGTGTCTCAAGCCATGAAGATAGCTGATGAGAAAAGAGGATTCAAAGAAAACAGGAGCGAATCGTTTGCTTTCATTATCAATGCAGGAGGATTGCCTGCAGATCAAATTACAAAGCATTACATTGCTTTGTAATGAGAGGTTTTCAAAAAATAAAATAATAATTATTCCAAATAATAATTTGGAAATGCATTTCCAGGGAAAGCTGCTAAATGTGCAGCCGATCACCAAGCTGGCAGTGAGAGAAAAAGTTTGATTGCAGAACTTCTGGATAAATTAGAGGAGAGCAAAGATAGATTTAAGAAATGGATTACACCTCTAAGCTCCACTACTGCTGCTAGTTTGGTTGAAGCATAGAAAACGGTTCATAGATCCAACAGGTAGCGCTCTGATGCAGAGATGGGAACTTTTTTTTCCCCAAAAAATATAAATCAGACCAAGGAACGCTGGTGACAGAGGATGTGGGATTTCAGGTTTAGAGAGCTCTGCTCTGATGGACGTCAGTTCCTGCTTGGTTCCTCATGACTCAATCAACTCCTCCCAACAGAAACACGTCCACCATAGAAAGATTCCTTTATCACGTTTCTATAATTTCATCAATGCAAAAAAACTTAAACCGCGCGGTGAAGGACGGTGAAGCACCGTTCACTGCTCCTCCATCACCTCATGCTGCTATGTCACATTTCCTCCATGATAAACATTTAATCATGAATGATTATTATATATTTAAGCCCACAAAGTCCTTTTCTATAGTAGGATAATACACTTAGAGTCCATGTTGCCATAAAAGGTATATTTAAGACTTTTATATTTCTGCGACTAAAGACAGATTTTGTTTTTTTGGTCCAACATGGCTCTTTGAACAGTTTGGGTTGCTGACTCCTGTTTTAGAGTCTCTAATCAATTACTAAATTAGTCAATGATTATTTAAATAATTGATTAATCCAATTAATTGTTCCAGCCCTAGTGATTTTATCGCCTTAACTAGTGAGAGAGCAAAATCTTTATGAAAAAATAAATCTAAAGAAGGTGTATTGAAACTGTACTTATTAAAGTGTTAAAATGTTAAAAAGTGTTCAAAATATACCAACTACATTTAGGACAGAAGAAATGACATCATTAAAATGTCCCGCTGAAGGCTTGACTGTTATAGCTCTGGAAAAGTACTGATGCATTATGGGTAATCAAGGGAAACTCCCGCCTGCCACTGAGTGACTGCAGCCTCCCCATCACAGCGCTCTGCTGGTGAACTTAACCACATTATGGCAAGCTGTTTAACATTTAATCGCTGCACTGGATAGTCATTACTGATCTATGCAACATAGTTCTACCTAGTCCACACAGGTAGTCATACAAAATTAAATTACAGATAGATATAGATATCTAGAACAGTAACTCAAGAGCACTGATTAAATGTGTGCTGGCTTGCCGTACCCTGTTCTCTCCTATAGCAGAACTTTTCTTTTTCTAGGAGATCAAACGTCTGGTTTGAATCGTTTCTTTGCCACGTAGATATTAATTGTTAGAGCGATGCTTCCAGAGACTTTTAGACAGAGGACTTAAAAATTAGGATTATGTCAGAGTCCTGCGCAGCCAGAGTTAGCATGTAGCGGACTGGAGGAGAATCAGCAACAGTCAGGAGCAACAGTTAGGACAACTTCTCAGCCGACTAACCTTTAGGACGTCGATCTCTGGACGCGTTGGATAAGCAAAGGTGATGTCTTTGAACTCCACCAGACCAGCACAGGTGTCTGGAGCCTCTGTGCCCTCAGCTGGATGTTCAGGCTTCCTGTCCAGATACTCAAACACCTTCTCTGCAGCTCCCACCCCCTGCATGAGGCCGGTGTAAACCGAGGCGATGCTCTGAAAGGGAGACGGGGCAAAGATTCACTGCAGCCTGCCGCTCAATCAAAATGTTAAGAAATAACAGGAAATACCTCAAAACATTCGCCCAGCTCCAGCATGTAAATGAAAAAGGAGATCAAGCCGCCGCTGCTCAGCTGATTGGTGAGCACCAGGTGGCCTCCATAGTAGAGGACAGCGACCTCCAGAGCCAGCTCTGATATCTGGGGAACAACGATAAAGCTCAGTGATGCTCCTGCGCTTCACGACCGACGGGAGCGCAGAGAGCTGCAGGAACGTACGCAGCTGGACCACATGTAGCAGGCGTAGGCCAGGGCCTGCTTTTTGTTGAGCTGGAACATGAGCAGCAGCTTGGCGTAGTAGGAGTCGGCCTCCCCGCCCTCATTGGCGAAGCTGCGCACCGTCCTCATGGCTGAGATGGTCTCCTCTGCTACCTTATTAGCCTCTGCCAGGACCGTTTGCACCTCTTTGGTCAGTTTCTGTAAGGAAGCAGTTTCAGTCATCGCCTCATAACTCAGACTGATGGACCTAAGATCAATCAGGCCACCGAGGCGAGCCGGGCCACTCTACCTTGTAATATTCACCATAAAGCATAGAGACGAGGCCGATGAAAGGGAAGGCCATCATGGTGACCAGTGTGAGCTTCCAGGACATCCTGAACATGAAGATGACGAAGCCGGTGCCCTTGATGGCGCTCCTCAGAAAGACGTTGACGTTCTGGGAGATGAGGTCGCTCACCTGGGTGGTGTCCGCTGACAGGCGTGACAGGATGTCCCCTGTGGGCACACGGGGAACAGCGTCAGGGACAGAGCAGACAGGATCCACAGAATCAACGGAGCGCTTCCACGTTACCGGTGTGGTTTTCATCAAAAAAGGCGATTTCCTGCGTCATCAGGGTTCTGAAGAGGCGGCTCCTGAGCCGGAGGTTTAATCTGGCAAATGTCAGGGTGAAGACTCCTCCTCGCACGCCCATGGCAAACGAACTGAGGAGGAAAAGGAGAGTGAAAGAGGTGCTGCTGCCTGCAGCGATCTGTGGGAAACTGCAGCGATCTGTGGGAAACTGCAGCGATCTGTGGGAAACTGCAGCGATCTGTGGGAAACTGCAGCGATCTGTG